TGGGGGGGGGGGGGGGGCGCTACTTTGCCAGATCATTGGGGAAGAAGGGGCAGAAAGATTGTAACAGCCATAGGTCTCTGGTCAGTTACTCATATGAACTCACAGCAATGGTGACAGCCTACACAAGTTCCATGCAAGCTCAAACTAGACAAAATCTGAGCATAGACTTTGGAAAGTGGGTAAGAAACCCCAACCCTACCTGAGGAACTATTGGCAACCTATGGCTGCTGGGAGAGGGAGGTCAGTCTCTTTCAAGGATGCGACGCTTGGTAGGTTAACCAGGCTCTAAATGGATGGGGAAAAAAAGAAAAACTAGGATATAGTTCCATGTAGAGTTTTTGCCTAGCTTTTGTGAAGCTCTAAGTTCAATCCACAGCAACACAATTTTTTAAAAGGTTGCAATTTTTCCAAACACTTTCATTCCCAAGTCAACTCACGAAGAGAAGAGACATGCTTAAAAATTTTTAAACAGAAAAAAGTTAAGAAAAAAATGCAACAAAACAAAACAAACAATAAACCCCACAATGTTTGTTTTCTAAAAATTGTTTGGAGTTGGCTGTAGTGGCACATGCCTGTAATCCCATCATTTGGGAAGTCAAGACCAGAGGATCAGGAGCTGGAAGCCAACCTGAGCTACACATCAACATATTGTCAAAACAAAACAAGACAGTAATGATTAGTGTGTCTAGCACTTTTGCAGTGCTATTTTTATGCTATTTTAAAGAAAGAACTTTTTTTACCTTATTAAAAAAGCATTTTGGGGGCCAGGGAGATGTCTCAGTGGGAAAAGGAACATGTTACCAAGACTGATGACCTGGGTTTGATCCCTGGATCCCACATGGTAGAAGGAGAGAACAGACTCTTGGTTGTCCTCTGACTTCCATACATGTGCTGTGGCATTTGTGTATCCATGCACATACAAACACACTAAATAAATGTGAAAGAAATCTAAAAAAAGCAACAACAAAATAGCACTTTTCACGAGCTGGCCTCAATTTTGGTTCTAATATTTTCATAAGCAGTCAGATTGCACAGAAATCTGGCACCTTGCTGCTTATTTATTTGCATCACTGTCTGATGGCAGACCCTAAGAGCAAGCAGCCCTGCATTCTGCAGGCAAGTTTTGAGATGCTGGTATCTGTGTGAGAGTACCACTTCCCAGAGCATGCAGTCTGAAGCAACAAAGATTAACTTCAGTACTTGCAAGGCAGAAGAGCACTGCCTTACAATTTCCTCTTAGCATTCAGTTCTTATGGCATTAGTGATCACGGTGCCTTGAAGCCTCCCCAGATCCTCCAAAGTTAACCAGTTACCAGTCTATGAACTTGGAACTACTGTCTTCCCACTTACCTCTTTGTGCTATAATCTTTTCTTTCTACCAGAAGTGGATTTCACTATTCAGCTACCTATGAGCACATGTGATTACTCTGTAAGTGTTGAGGGCACTGACTCATTTGTGTGAAAACAGCCCCTTCATCCTGCTTCCTCAGGTCAACCTCATTGAAGCTCTTCTTTCTCAATTTCTGCCATAGCTCCTTGAATGGGATGTTGGCATCTCCTGCTTACTTGCTGCAATATATCTTGTAATCTATTCCAAAATTCTCTTCTCCTCAATCCCCAAATATTCTGTGACTCCCATGGTCAAAGCCAAGAGAGACTGGGCGGTTGTGGTGGCCTTCACATGATAATCCCAGCACTTGGGGGGTTGAGGCAGAAGCATCATAAGTAGGAGGCCTGCCTGGACTCCAGAGCAAGATGCTGTCTCAAAAACTAATCCATTCATCCATCTGCCCATCCATTCATCCATCCATCCATCCATCCATCCATCCATCCATCCATCCCATCCATCCATCCATTCATCCACCCTGGCAAAACTTTAGAAGCTCTCAATGCTCCTATGGTCATATTCAGTCCACTCAGCCTGACATTCAAAGACCTCTAAAGTCTGATAACAACTTCCCTTCTACCCAGCCAAACCTCATGTCCCATCCCATTGTTTGCTGCAGTTGCCTGTCTCCTAGGAAAGGACATTCTCCATTCAAAGCTTCCTGTTCTTTAAGCTCTGCCTTAAGCCACACTTTCGAATCTTACCAAATCTTCTCTTTGAAAACCACACTTTCAAATTTTTCAAATCTTCTCTGGCCACTGTGATTTACAGTGACTTCTCCCCACCTCCCTATACATAGACCACCTACTTTTGGGGGCCATGAATCCTGTGCCCATATTCAAAATTGGTGTGTGAGGAATTGGTTTTTGATACTTTTTGTAGTTACTGAGACAGAACAGACTTCATATATCAACACAGCATCTCTTAGAACATGGAAGAAACCCCTTTGGTTGAACAGGATTGACAGAGTACTCAGTTTCAAAATGTGTCCATTTAATTTCTAGGTTGGTCTTGTTATTAAAGACATCTACATTTCCCCTCTCATCTTATTCCAACTATGTGAGAATCTAGCATCTCCAGGAAAAAAGAATCCTCTTTTGCTCCCATCCAGATGAGATTCCCAAATCCAATTTAAACTCTTTGTGTCCATCTTCCTATTCACAGAGCTGCTCAGCCTCAGATTCACCTGGTAGATTGTTAGAAAGGAAAATTCACGAGCCCCTACCCAGATCAACTGAATTAGAAACTGAGGGTGGGGCCCAGGACTCTGAGGTATATCTTCCAGAAAGCAGCTGGCCACCCTATGCTTACTTAAAGGTGACTAGTGTCAGGCCACCTTTTCTTCAACTAAATTGTATTTATAGACCTCCTTCGATTGATTTGGTTTATTTTTTCCCCAGTCATGTGATCAATCCCACATTCCCACATTTGTGAAAACTCCAGAGCCTAGGTATAGGAGGGCCCCACATTCCTCTGGATCGCATCAGGCTAAGGCACAAAGGAAAAAACCGGCTCCAGTGACCGCACAAAACCCCTGGTCCCAAAACAGCCACTTGCAGTTTATTTCCTTAAACGTTGAGCCGGAAAGGGGTTTTGTGGTTGTGCGACCCTAGCTGGGCTGAGCGACAGTTCTGCACATCGGGGCGGGTGGGCAGAAGTGCTGAGAGGATGACTGGCAGTTGTATTCTGAGTGGTGTTTGCAGGGTGTTTATCTTGCCCCTCCAGCATGCGCACGCGCGCACACACGAACCGTTTCTCGTCTAGAAAGAGGGAATCCTGTGTTTTGTAGACAAAAAGTCACAAGCAACTTTCATTTAAAACCCCAAACCCGAAAAGGGGCGGGGGGAGGTGATGGTGTCAAAGTGCAATGTCCCCAGAGGAAAAGGAGCCGGGCTGTTTGTCCCTCAGTCACCAAGCAACACCCAGGCAACAGGGGTGCCTGTGGTCTTCCGCGGTTTTTCTGGCTCTTCTTGGCGTTGGTTCACATCCACCCTCTGATCGTTCAGGCAGTGAAAGAGCAGGCAGGGCAGCCTCCAGGTCCGGGCGGACCCGGAGCGCGGGGGCCCAGCTGCACGGTCCCGGGTGCTGCTCGGAGCCTTCCTCCCGCCGGGGGCGGGTCCTGGCGGTCGGGGCGCTGCGCCGGTCGTCCGGTAGGGGTCGCTGCTCGGTGGCGCGCTCTCCCCGCGGAGAATAACGGGGCCCGGCAGGAGGAGAAAGGAAACCTGCTGGGGGCGGCGGCGGCGGGCGGGCGAGGGAGGAGAGAGTTCACTTTTGCACCGTGTCAGCGCGAGGCGGTCGCAGCGGGCGCTGACGAGGGAGCACGGAGGAAGAGGCTCGCCCAGCTCCGAGCGGCCGGCCGAGGGCAGCTAGTGGCGGGATCGGAGCGCGCCGGTGGGGCGCGGAGCCCGCGAGCCTGGCCAGCGAGGGGAGCCGCGGGGGGCGCACCCCGGGAGGGCCCCCGGAGCCCCGCAGGATGCCGCACGAAGAGCTGCCGTCGCTGCAGAGACCTCGCTACGGCTGTAAGTGCGCGGGGCTCCCGCCGGTCTTGGGGACCACTTCTCCCCCGGGGACCCGACTGGGGAGGCTGAGGGAGCCGGGTGCGCGCGGCGGAGGGACCCGGAGGACAGAGGCTGGCGAAGTTGGGAGCTGGAGTTGCTAGGGCGCAGAGAGCGCCTCTCCTGCTCTTTCCTCCGAATCCCTAATCCCAGCTGGCAGCCGAGTCTCGCCATCCCGCCGGCCCTGGCGACGCGGTGGCAGCGCTCCCGGCAGACAAGGTTGGGTTTTAGGGGTGTCAGGTGAGGAGCCCGCGGAGCTCCGGGCCGCTTCCGGTTTGGGCCAGGCGATGGCGTAGGGGACCCGATTCTTCCCATCCAGAAGGGGCGGAAAGTTTGTTTGCTGTGGCTACAGGTGGGCGCCTTAAGTAGTGAGTCATTGCGCTCAATGAGGCCACTTTCCTGGAAGGCCAGGCGTCTCCCATCCTGCTCTGTCCGGCCTCACCTGAGCAGCTAGAGCCAGTTTCGGCCCCACAGGTGTGAAGCTCTTCCTGCCAAAGCCTACCCAGACACGTCCCGCCCCCGGCCGCTCTCCAGGCGGTTCTCCCCGCCCCGGATCCCCTGCGCGGGAGGACTGCTGCGAAGGGAGGACTCCGAGCTCCGAGCCCGCCTGCCTTGAAGGCTTTGGTGTCGGTTATCCAGCCTAGGGCTGCCGGGGGAAAGAGGCGGCTTTGGCCCGCGAACTGGAGGGAGCCAGATTAGCACCAACCACGTGGCCTCCTGTGCAGAGTTCAGAGTACTAAACATGTGCCAGGAAGTATTTCCTTTAAACCAAACAGAAATTTGGCTCTTTTTCTCCAGGGTTGGCCCTGTCAGTGAACCCATGGCCGCTGACCGTGGGTTAATCGTTTGCTTGGGCTGGCCTTGGTGGCAGAAGGGACCAGGTTTGGGTTAAGGTGGTGATGCCAGCTGCAGGGTTAGTGTGTGCATGTGGTTCTGGATGTTTGGTCGGGCCACAGATTTAGTTTTCTGAAGAGTGTCTTCAACTTGCATAAGTCCTTCACTCCTCCCAGCCTTAGAGTAGAGAGTCAGAGGTGGGAGGTTTGATTTTTCCTTGTGTCTCTTTTTTATGACAGCGAGGAGGAGCCATCTGCCGCCCTCTGTAAGGTGAAAAAAATGGGTTCACCAGTAGACCCCGAATGTATTACAGCCTTAGCCAGTTTAGTGTTGCTAAACCACAAAGAGCTCCAGGAGCTGGAGGAGGAGCCCTGGGCTCATCTAATGACCGAGGTGTCAACCTCAGGTCTGTGGAAGTCCTTTCTTGTGACAAGCGCTGGGAACACAAGGTAGTTTCACTGTATTGAGCTATAGGATGACTATAAAGTCTGAAAACTAGGCGAATACACATTACAGTATACTTTGACGTCACATGGTCTTTGTTATCCCTCATTAACAATACGCAGTGCAAAATTGCAATGAATGTGGTGCAGTAATGCAGTCTTTCCATCAATCCCTGAATATGCATCTGAGGTGGTGCCTGATTTCTGTTGAATCAGCCTATGACTTCAGCATGCCTTAGAAGAAGTAATCCAAGAGATCTGGCAAGCCTGAAGCCTACTCCACAGAGCTACTCTTCTTGGAAATCTTCCTGCAATTTCCCATGCTAATCTGGTGTTATGGGGTGGAGTGTTATTGTTGTGGTCAAGTACCTTACTTGGGTTTGTCAACTGCTGTCATCCATTGACTTTTTTTTATTATTATTTTAAAAATTATTTTATGTGTGTATTGCCTGCATGTAGGTAAGTGCAATGCCCGTGGAAGACAGAAGAGGCTGTTGGATCCCCTGGAACTGGAATTAGGGACAGTTGTTAGCTGCCATGTGGGTGCTGGGATTCAAACCCAGGTCTTCTGCAAGAACAACCAGTGTTCTTAACTGCTGAGCTATCTCTCCAGCCCCATCTACTGACTTCTTAACATGGCCAGAGATAGAGATTTATGTGCCTATGTGTTGTCCATGCTGTGAAATCCAAAGGTTTTAATGCAACAGACAGTTATGTCATTAAACTGAACATTTTATAATATTTTTGATACCAGGCTCATAGATAGAATGTGTTTATATACATTTTTTTTTTTTTTTGTCTTTTTGAGACAGGGTCTCCCTGTAGCCCCAGCTGTCCTGGAACTCACTATGTAGACCAGGCTGGCCTTGAACTCATAGAGATTCACCTGCCTCTGCCTCCCAAGTGCTGGGATTAAAGGCATGCACTACCACACCTGCCTGTGTCACCACAGCTGGCTGTGTTTATATACTTTTAAATGATGTCTAAGGCCATTGAGGTGGCTCAGCAGATAAAAGTTCTTGCTGCCAAGCCTGATGATCTGGGGTTAATTGCCAGAACCCACATGATGGAAAGAGACAACTGACTCCCACAAATTGCCCTCTGACCTCCACATGTGGCATGAAACATGCACACACGTACACATAAGATATTCCAGCAGAATATACCTTAGTGTCAATAAACACTACTTCAGATATTCATCTCTAAGGGGGTAGTTAGGTATGTAAACTTTCTAGTTGTTGGCTTTCTGGGCCTCTTGTCAACACAAGGCTGAAAACAGTACTGGGACTCTTGTCAAGAAGGTGAAGAAGGAAAGACAACAGGGTTGTCTTCACTTTGTGGCGTTATATGGTGTTCTTCTTGCTTACTGGTTTGGTAAGAAAATACAGGTTCAGGAAAACCTCCAGCCATACTACTCAGGTTTGATTTCCAATATTTTAAAAAGTGAAACACCAGTAGCTTGTTGTAGCTTCAGTTCTGGTGCTGAATGTTCTGTCTTTTAAAAACTGTTTTCAAGCTGGGCGTGGTGGTACATGCTTTTAATCCAGTACTCAGGAAGCAGAGGCAGGCAGATCTCTGTGAGATTGAGGCCACCCTGGCCTTCATAGTGAGTTCCAGGCCACCTGGGGCTACAGGGAGACCCTGTCTCAGAAAAACAGAAAAACAAAGTTTTTAAAAATAACTTTTTGATGGTTTGAATTAAGCTATCTTACTTGTTTCAGATATGGGCTTTTCTGCCATCTCTTCTACCCCCTTGAACTGTCATTATATTCAATAATTCTTACCCGATATAACTATATTAACTTGGCTCAAGGCAATTATAGTCTCCCTCTTTCTGTGAGTGTCTATAAAATAGCATATCCTAAGTTGTGCTTGAAGAATTTGTCAGTGGGTTCTCCCTGGAGGCAGCAAACCTCAGATTTCTGTGGGATGCAAGGAGGCAGAGGGCATCCTGATTTGGACATAGGAATGCCTATGTTAAAATTATATAGACTGCTTTCAGTTTAATTCCTGGTATTCCTGGCTATATTTTCCTGTAACCTAAGAAGTTATATGGTGTGATATTAACACAGAACAATGTTGAAATATCATCTCAGTAATGTAATGCTCAGGAAAAACATGCAAGAAAGAGAAGACAGTAGCCATAGGGGTGCAAGCATGCACATAGGTGTAGATACAAGTTTAAATAACACTAGTGATTTGATTAGATATGATTTACAAATAACGTTTGTGCTTTTGTAATGAATTATGATATATTGGCTAAGTTAGTTCAGGGTGGTAACATGTTACCACCCTGTCTATCAAAAGTTCCAATTACTTGAGAGCTTAAAAGGCTAGTGAAAGCAAAAAGGACTTGGTTGCTGATAGATAAGTTCACTCGTTATTGGTAGTCCAGTCAACATTTAAGTGTCACTGTGGGTCATGACTGATTGTGTATATGGTGAGAACTGGACTTTCACTCTGAAAACTGGAGGTCCTTCTCATGAGCTACACTGTAAAACTAAGTGATCAATGTTTTCTTGTGTGCTTCCTTCCCAATACCCAGGAGCCAAGGCAGGATGATTCTGAGTTCGAGGCCAGCTTGAGATACACAGAGAGTTCAAGGCTAGTCTCCACTACATAGCAAGATCTTGTTTTCTAAAAAAGGAGAAAAAAGTGCAACATAAGTCAGTAAATTGCTTGCCTTGAAAGCGTGAGGACCTGAGTTTGATCCCTAGAATGCATGTAAAAGAAGAAAACAAGAACAGCAACAACTGGGCATGATGATGTGTGCTTATAATCAACCAAAGTGCTGGGGAGGCAGAGCCAAGTATATCCTTGGGGCTCAGTGGCCAACTAGCTCAGCCTAATTAGCGAGCCCCAGGTCCCAGTGAGAGACCATGTCTGAAAAAACAAGGTGGGGGCTGGAGAGAAGGCTCAGAGGATAAGAGTACTTCCTGCTCTTGCAGGGGACCTGAGTTCTGGTTCCCAACACCCATATCGGTGACTCACAACTACCTTTAACTCCAGCTCCAAGACATCCAGCACCTCTGGCCACTGAGGGCACACACATATGTCAAAACATTGGTTAAAAGCACTGGTTGTTCTTGCAAAACACCTGAGTTCAAATCCTGGCACCCACATGATGGCTAACAATCATCCATAACTCCATTTCCAGGGGATCCAACACCCTCTTCTGTCCTTCATGGGCACTCCATTACATGGATGCACTTACATACATGCAGGCATAACACTCATACACATAAATTTCTTTTACATATCTAAAATAATAATTATTAGTAATAATAAATCTTTTTTAAAAAACCAAGGAGGATGGCTTCTGAGGAGCAGCACCTGCTTGACCTCTGATCTCCACATGAACATATGTGCATCTGCAAGCACACTGGCACATACACACATAAAAGGATGACATAAATCGAGTGTGCGTATGTGTGTGTGCATGTGTATGTATGTGGGTTGTGGAGATCTCTGGCTGATGCTATTGGTTTTTGAGTAATGTTCTTGTCTGATTGGTGAGGTTTTTTAGTCTCCTGGGAGTTGGGCTATTGCGGTGGTCAGTGTAACTAAATCTTTACATTACCAATCTGATGTGGAATAACTGAAGTTTTGAAGTAGTTAATGTGGGTATGTAAAACAGCAGGGACCATGTGAGTGTTCTAACACTCCCTGTGCTTTCATCTGAGAGAT